GGGGGGGGGAGGAGCTCCAATAATTATACCCTTTAATTCTTGCTCAATCTTGAAGATTCAAGGAAATCACTCACAAGGACTTCAACCAACAAGGTAAGTTTTTTCCCCTAAGCTTTCATGAAATGTTCATAATGGGTTTATGTATATATTTTATTATTATGGGTCTTGTGGGATGGTGATCGGAAGCCATAATCCCTCTACTTTGAAATTTGGGGTGTATGAGAAGAATGTGAGGTGTGGTTCTAGATTTGGTGGTGTGTCGTTGGGCATGCATGTATCGATGACGGTGATATGGGGGTTGTTGAACTATCGTGGGTAGGTTGTTGTTTGAAATTGATTGTGGGGTGAAGGAATTCCATTAGTGAACCTTGCAGTCGATTTTGCACATTTATTGTTTGATGAAATGCCAAAAAAGGTTAAACCTATGAACACCTCCCTAATAATTGTTCAATTTGGTTATCTTTCTATATACTGAAGTTGCTAAGAGTAAGGGAATGTTGTAGTAATCTTAAGACAAGCTTTATCAAGGTATGTTGGCTAAAATCCTTCCGTAGAATCAGATTGCACGAGTTCCTCGTAAACTTCAATTATGGTTTAATCAAGTTCCTATTCCTATTGTCCCAAATTTCTTCTATGGTTAATTTGTCCAAAGGCTTATGATTTTAATTCATGATTCAAATTGCAAATCGCTATGCTCTTCCTTGTACTTATTTCCAGTATGTTTTGGGCTCTTACATACATATGAGTTGAAGCTATGACTTTCTCAATGTTGCCAATGTTTGTAAATGTTTGATGATGATCCATAGCAATGAAAAGAATGAAAGTATGGAATATGAAATACGCCCATCATGCCAAGAATTATTATTTACATGTATGGCCAAGAGTGCCGATGAAATTAAAAGATTAATTGAAAGGCTATGAGATGCATATTCTTCGTTTATATAGAATGTGTTTTTGGGAGTATCGTTAGGTCATTGAGGTAGGATGGGTTATAAATGCCCAAGCCCAAAACTACACGTGCCGGTGTAGGAGTTGATTGAGGGATGAATCCCCATTATATTATGTTGAGATTATTCCCCTTGATTGGGATGAGTTGATAGCTAGAAAAGACCATGTCTATCCACACAACATTGTGGTGAGACGACTTAGCCGACCAGGGAGAGATCAGATGCCATGTTGCGTACATGGTGGAGGTTTGTACTTCTATGTCAACCCTCATACATCGGGGTGAGACGGCTTAGCCGATCAGACAGAGATCGGACTCCATGCCACGTGCATGATGGTATGTTGGTACTAAGAATCTCACAACCAAAATATTAATGCTTACTTGAAAGTTACTTTGTTTAATTTGGCATTTAAATATTATTGATTTTCTTACTGTTTCCATGTGTCTCTCCTTTTATGTTGACATTCCATACCATGAGAAGGTATTTAGCTGTACATACTTGTACTATCCCATATGTACAAATGTCCCTTTTGCCGGAAGTTCTACATCTTTAATGGATGCAGGTGTTCCTTAGTAGGCGACACTGATCCTTGATAGCATCACATCCTCTTCTCAGCTGATTTGGTGATTTGTACTCTATATCGAGGCCTTGTATCACTTTGATTCTTATACATAGTGTTTGAGGTATAGCCTGGGCCTTGTCACTGACACTTCCATATTTGTAATCATGTTTACTTAGAGGCTCCATAGACATTATGTGGGTTATATTTTGAATTGGAAAAAACAAATTAAAAATGTTGTTGTAGTTGTTGGATGTTCCCACTTCTAAATATGAACTTGTAATATTTTGGTAATCGTAAATGAAGCTTCTATAAGTCATGAAATTGGTACCGTACATTTTAGTCTCTCGTTTGTCTAACTCTTGATATTTATTCATGGGCAAGCTTGAAAGATAGGCACTATGTAGGCTTGCTTGACTGGGGTAACTCTGTTCAGCGTCGATCGCCTCCTCTCCCTAAAAGGTTGGGGCGTGACAGTTAGCGCCCCAAGGTGTGTTCTGATTCCACTTTCGTGCTCTCGTCAGATATTTCTCTACCACTATTTTACCTTATAGGGTGCTCCCATGACCATGCTAATTTCCGGGATATTGGGGTTGATTTCCATCTAGTAGAGAAGGAAGGTTGGGTAAGCGTTTCGCTCCGAATCATTGTTGTCTTATCTGGATTGATTTGTCATTCAACATAAGGCATGTCATTAGGTACATGATTCATTAATTTTTGGGTGGCTTTCTTAATTGTCAATCAATACCAAGGACCGACTCACCTTAGGTGTATGCAGCATGTCCTACGTTTTCTAAGAGTAGAGTGTTTCCTAAGTTTGAGTTGGACTGAAGAACTGCGAGATGATATGTCAGTTGGCCTGACATGGTCATTCTCTAAAACTAGAGAGTTTCTAAAAGAAGGTTTGGATGGATGAAAAGACAACGCTCGCGTGATTTGTGTGTGATTGTGTATGGCCAAGACACGATAGGAAAAATGCGATGACAGTGTATAAAGTAGTAACAAATAATTGTGATGAATCAATGATAAGAATAAAGCAGATAAACACATATTTGCAGTTTATCTTTGTAGTGTTATTTTTGTGTTTTTGTAGGAGTAGGAGAATGGAGTGAAAGACAATAGGCGTGTGAAAAAGTGAGTGGTGGTTGGAACTACGTGTGGGATGTCCGCACAAAGGACCATATCTGGGAAAAGTCTGAGTATCTCGTGAGCTGCTAATGCATCGTCCTTTGGCCTACCAGGGCGTCTCTTTTACCCTCTTGTTATTTATTATATGCATCGATGACATTGTACAATTTTAAGTATGGGGTGAGGAGTTTATCTGGGTGATTTTTTGTTCTATCCTAGTTTAGTTGTAGTACTCTTTCTTAATGTACTAGTTTTTGTGTAAAAGAAACGAAAAAGAAAAGAAAAATCAGAAATTTTTGGAGTTTTCCCGACGATGGATTTTGTGGACAGTATTCTTGAGGGATTAAAGTCCAATTAAAAAAATACCAAAAAGAATTTTTTTAGGATAGTTAGGTAGGATCCCTTGATTTTTCTTTGGCCACCGGTTCTTTTTCAAGGGTGTAGCTTGAACCGGGTACTTTATTTTTTCTTAGGAGTAGGATAGGAAGAAGTTGAGTTACTCTCAGATACCTATTGACGTGTTTGGTGCTGGCAAATTAGGCTATGGCATGCGCTCTGTCTTCCCATACATTTGATTTGAATTGTGATGCCTGAGTAAAATAAATAGCCTACTATGTGATACATTTTCTCAGTTGTTTGACTTGTATGCCACATAGTGCAATATTGCTTAAAGTTTCTCAATTATATGTCTTTGCTTGACTTGAGAGTTGATCATAACTGTCTCGATTGAGTCATGTGCAATGTGTGTGAGAGGTATCGTGATCTTCTGTGATATCCTGTGTAGTCTAGAACTTGCCCTGTGTGTTAATCGAAGCGAAATTATTAAATTGTGCTAGTCTAGGAGATGACGTATCCATTTCTTGCTTGATCATAGATGTGCTTGTCACATAAAAATAATATTTTCTGTTGCTAGACCCTTTGAGACTATAGAACGTTTCTTTGGCACCCACATTACAAGCCGCACACCTATTTTGTTCTTAGTTTGAGATTGTTGAACTTTACCTCCTAAGGCACTGAGTCGCTAAAAGAAGTAAGGTGAGAGATTGGGGAGTATCTTTCTAGTGGAACCATGGAAGGGCCCTTAAGGTGCACTAAAATTGTAGAAAAAGGTCACTAGCCGATGAACCTTAATGCATGGAGTGTGTGGAGAAAAGAAAAAAAAAGAAAAAGAAAAAAATTGCAAGAAGGAAAACATATAATAGTTCAAACAATGTAGAGAAACACATATCTTCTAATCCTACTAATTCGTGCTAGTGGGAATATAGAAGGGCTTAATTGGGAAAAAGGGCTATGTTGTAGATGGTTGGTGGTGAGTGAATTGGTTGAGAAGAAGAAGTGCTCGATTTTTGAGTGTAGTGTATTAAAGTGCTTAGGAGGGTTATTCACTATACCTAAATGTATCCTACCCGTCCCTTAACCTACACTATAACCTTAAAGTCTTAATTGATGCTATATTTGGGTAGCTTAGATTAGTAGAGATGTACACTACGGGCAAGCTTATGGTACGACCACAGGATGCACATGAAATTGTTTATGAGAGTGAGAGAATTTTGTTCAATTGTATGATGTCCTTAAAATTATGTTCGAAGGCATACTTGAATATGTGGATTAATTTATATTCACTCTTTTGTTTGCTGGTGAGGGTACATGATCTCATGAAGGATTGGTAATATTGTAAACTTTTCTTGTTGGGTGAGTGCGTGAGTGAGGGTGCTTAGTGGTAACGAGTCAGCTCTTGAGGTAGGGTAGTTACGGATAGGTTGTTTAAATTGAAATGTTTGTACTTGGACATGTTTAAAACGGGAAGAATGTAAAATTTGTATGTTCGTGCTTGATTGGCGGTATCGATAATAGACAATGGTAGAGTGTATGGTAAAAACATATTGGAAGGATCCTCTCTAGTTGAGATGTGTACATTCTTGGGGTGTAGTTGATAGTCCCGTTGCTCGAGGACGAGCAAGAGTCTAAGTGTGGGGTGTTGATACTTGGCTTAAAGTATATATATTTATATGTATATCACCTCATATTTTATTCGCTTTTCATGGATTTTGTATGTGAAATGTACTGATTTATGCTTATTTGTGTTGTTTTTATATGTAGGAATCATCCGGAGGCAATAGGGGTGAAAGGTACGAGATTAGAGCCAAAAAGGAGAAAAAGTTAAAAATGGCGATTTCCAGGATCACAGGCAGCGTGGGGCGCTACCTGTGGCCCAATTTCCAAAATGTTTATTTTCACAGTGCCAGTGCTAGCGCCCCATGCTACCCTGGGCATTGATGACGGGAAACATCTCCTACTTCGCCCGAGATAAGGTTATTTCAGTGCAAGACCCTCCCAACTCGTATAAAAGCAAGACTAAACCTAATTTGGAGGATATTTAACATATGTTTGAGGGAGAACACGTCACTTTGGAGGAGGATAACATAAACCACGCTTAGAGCAAGGATTCTCAGTTTTTCTTCTCTTCACTTCCTTTAATTTTATAGTTTATTAGTTCTAGAGTTCTGGGTGCAACATGAACGTTGTAGTTTGAAACTTGAGTTGTTCTTATTATTTTAACATATTGGTTTATTTATTCAATCTTGCACTTAATTATTTGATTGCTTGATCATCAATTAAATACAATCTACGAATCTAGGATTGAACAAGGCAGAGGAAATTCTAGATTGCACATAAGATTGAGTAGAGCGAGATCTTGAACCTGATTATCGGAAACGGATTAGCGGTTATGATAGGGATATACCTAATCGCCTTGCTTGGTTATTATACGGAAATTATTAATGCGTTCTTGTTAATCCTAATTCCATAGGAATATAGGAGTTAGGTGAACTTAAATAGGCGAGTAGTACTTCGGGAGAAGGCTACGAGTAATATTAACCATGTCAACCAATAAACCAGAAAAATTAATTAGACAATTTAAGTAAAAGACTCAACAGGAATGTTAGCTAACCCATAGCTCTAGAATATCGGCTCTTATTGAATTTGTGTCTAATTTCGCCATCTTGTTTCCTTTAATCTCTTAGTTTGCCACTCTAGATTAGTTTTAATTAAATATTTATACTTTAGAAAATCGCTTGAATGGATTAATTATTTGGGTTTGATTTAGTTGATAGTTAATCACAAGTCCCTGTGGGTACGATATCTACACTTATTATCCTATATTACTTGTCGACCACGTATACTTGCGTGCGAGTTTTTGAGCAACAATATGTGCGTATTTCATTCTTTTTGCAGGAACAAACATCGCAATGTGGAACAACAAACTCATTAGCGATCCAAGGATCCGAGCTCAAACTCAAAACGGTCAGTAGAATTCTAATTCTTCAAATCTTTCAAATCAAGCCACAAATTCAAAGCAATCATGATGCTGAATGTTCCGTCTCGCAGTATCGTCCTAATACGATACTGGAAAAATTCATGAGAGCATCGCTTCCTCAACGTCTTCACTCCAGAACAAAATGAAGCTCGATCCTGTTTGAGCCCGAGGTATGTAAGCAATTCAAAGCCAGAACGGGGCCCCAACTCCCCAAAATTCTCCTGAAATCTTACTAATCCTATACCTCATAATCTTCGAACTATTCCTGCAATGTATGCCTACAATTGGGACAAAATTGGCTTTGGTTCAATTTCTTTGCCCGAAAATTCTTTCATCGTCTCCGGTCAAAGAGGGCAGTTGTTGACGACCAATTTTGACCCTCCCATTCAAAATTAATTTATTTATACTTAATAACTTACAATGAATATTTTAAATATATTTTATATCAATAACATCTATTCTTACAAAATTAATTTGGTATTAGTAATTTTGAAATTGATAATTCAATTTTTATAATTGTAATTGTAAATATATCATACCTACTATATATATATATATATATATATATATATATATATATATTGCATGGGTCTTACAATTAGTTTAATTAGTTATTCTTCGAGTTTTAGTTAATTGGTCAATCATTTCAATAATTCGAAACTAATATCATAGTTTTGGAAAATATGGTATTTTATGGTTAATTATTTTACAATAATTAATAGTGTATATGATAATTATAATTTTAATTTATTGAAAATAATTAATTTTATGTAATTTAATTTCAAAAGGGATTAAAAGTGGCTAAAGCCTACAATTGCAATTCACTATTAAATACAAAGTGGCTATCTCTTAAATTTATTTGGCTCAAATGACAAGTCCAATCCGGAAATACCCAGTCCAAACATCCCCTACCTTGGCAATCCACCCCAAATCTCCACGAACCAATCAGAGATTGCCACGTCACCCGTCTCCCACACACAAAAAATAAACACAACTAATTCAGGCCGTATATTTTTTAGATCAATGGCCCATGATTTTTTACTCTATTTTCTCTTTAATTTTTAAACACCCAGAGATCTAATCCTAACCGTTGGATCACAAGGATCCAACGGCCACCAAACTTTCCCACGATATAGATTTCATCCCTAAATATCAGGACCGTTGATCTAAAATATCAACGGTCCAGATTCAATACTCGACCTTAACCTAGAGACGGCCACCCCCATCCCCCCCAACCCTAAATCTTTTTTCACTCACACACCCTCTTTATTTCCCATTTCGTTCACTCTTCTCTCAACCTCTCATGCACATCAATCAACATACCTTGCACAAATTCGTTCAAGGTCATGAAATTTCTCAGCAAATCATCTTTCCTGATTCTGTATCCACAAATCCTGCTGCTATTTCCTCTTTCATTCATCAAATCTGAAATACCAGAATTTAAACCTTAGAACCAAAATATCATTTCATCTTTGTTCTCTCATATCGAACTTGCAGAATCACTCACTTTGTCTCTAGGCTAAGAAGCATATGGTTTTCTTTCCATTTAATTGGTTGAATTTCAAAATTCCCAAATTCGAAATCCTAGACCAATTGATGCAAGGTCGAATCATCAGAGATTTCTTGTGCTCTATCAAATTAGTGGCATGTATGGCAACTTTACAGTGTTATCATCATTATTCTTGGTCCAGAGGTCAAGCGTAGTGACCTATGGACATTGGGCCTTTTATTTAGTGGTTTTTGCTTTCAACGGACAATTTCTCTATCTCAGGTAAAAACTTTCACTGTTCTCACCTCTTTCTTCTCTGATTTTACTCGATGTTGCTCACATCATAAGTTCATCGTCACTCTCCACTACCGTGTTTTCAATCGAAAACCCTAAGGCTTCACAGCCACTATAAATTGGGGCTTTTTAGTATTTCATCTAACACACAACAATACACACTTTATATAGGAGAATTTAATAGTTGTTTGGAAATTTCTATTAAAGTCTATGTTCTCGACCAATTTCTACTTTTTATTTCTTTTCTAATTCTGAGCTTAGTACTGATTTAGAGCTTGAGCTCTTGGACTCCTGAAAGGGTAATTTGAACATTCTTTTGGTTTGCTGCCCCAAAGAAGGTCAGTAAAAATCTAAACCCTGTTACCATAGCACTAAGGCATTAGCTTATGACCTTTACACCTGTTTTACATCTTTAATATACCTCGGTGATTCCATTATTTACTTGAGTAAACTCATGACTATTTATGAAAACCTGTCCTAAGCTAGTTGAATCTTTGTATCACTTATATATATATATATATATATATATATATATATATTCTAGGATTACCTTATATTTAGCTTAAGACATGAATGTAAGGATGAGATGTGTTCGGGTTATGATGATACATTTGTTTAGCTGAAACATTGCTACTAAGTTCCATTGGATCTGATTGCAACTTGCTAATTTGTAATCCTATTGATGTTCTTAGAAGTTCTATTATAGGTTGAGAATCTATAACTTTATTAATGCTTTAGAAACTCTGATTTGTAGTCTAACATCTCTGGTAGTACCTGTAAGAGCCCCAACTATGAAATTATTGCTCTGAATTTCTGTCAATATTTTTTGAATGCTCTATTTGAAATTATCAACCTGTGCCTTTTGATTAAGAGTATTGATCTGTATTTATAATTGAATTTGTTTGACATGTGTATGTATTAGCATTCTTTAGAGAGCATCAATTATAGTAATAAGCCTGTAATGTTGTTAACACTCTTCTGTGGTATTAATTGTAGTTGTTAATCTGCCCTCCCCTAACCCCCCCCCCCCCCTTAGAAGTAATTGATGTTATTAGTCCATAACTTTGTTAATACTTTAGAAGTCCCAATTAAGATTGTTAACCTGTGTGTACTAGAGGGCATGACTTAAGTTAAAACAAATCTACGATTAGTCTAATTAAGGGTTGTTAAGGAAGATAAACATGTGTTCTTAAAATGTTGCAGACTCGAGCTATGTGCTCTCTCTATCCTTAAGATACTTAACCTCAGGTATTTTGTTCTTTAACAATGGTATGTTTTATTCTTTGCCTCTATGTATGTTTGACGCTTATTTCTTTTAAACCTGCTTAACATGTTAATCATCCATTTAGTTTCGAAAATATGATTATGACAATGTAGAAAAACTGTCTTGTAGTCTTATAATGTTCTGTCTTGGCTATCATGGGAGAGGCATATACATCTGTGGTATGGTATTATTATGGTGATTGGATTTACATTGAAAGTGCCTCATTGGCACATAAACCTGTGGGGAAGAGTGAGTGTTAATTGTTTTGGTATTTGGGAGTAGAGTTTATGTTACATCCCATATTTTCGTACGTGAAAGTACGCCATAAATAAATTGATGGAAGCTCGGAAATGAGATGCTACATCCCGCATTTTCGTTTGTTAAAGTTTCATCGTAAGTTAATCAACGTAAGTTCGGAAATGACATTATTTTGGGATTATAAGTATTAAGCTATTTTAAACAAGTGATGAGTAAATTCGTGAAGCTAAGAGGGAAAGCAAATCAAAGAAAATGAATTTCGTCAAAATTTGATATTTTGGGACAAAATACGGTCTAAACTATAATACCCGATAATTATAGACTAAAGCCATACAAGGTACCACATGACCATGATAGTGAGGTATATAAGGTGTGCTAAAAATGAGTAATATTTTAAGTAATTTGAAATAATTCTTAATTATGTGGATAATTGGTTAATTATTGAATTAGTGGGGGATTAATAAACTAATTAAGGAAAGGGGTGAATTATTTTGGATAAACTTGATAAATTTACCCCCCCCCAACGTGGCTAGCAAAAGAGGCCATGATAATGAGTCTTTAACTCACAAGACAAGGTGGCACATTTTGGAGGAGCTCTTTGCTTAGTCATCTTATTAAAGTGGTGTTCAAACCTAAGGGTTTAATACTTCTCTAAT